TTCATCAATGCACATTTATTGAAGTTTTATCTTTAAAATAAGCAAAAGCTCTCCGAGGATCTTTGATGATTTTTAAGAGGTTCTCTAGCCAAAAACTTTGAGAGACATAAGCAATTGACATTGCAAACTCCCCATTTGAATTTGGAATCAGTTATAATTTTTTGAAAATATTCAACATTTTTTACTAATCGCGATAGAATATGCTAAGATTCGATTCCACGTAGGAGTAAATCCGAAAATCCGGGTGAGGCTGGTGACTCCTTCTATCGCCAAGGGACTTCCTGGCATATTGCTCAATGCGACAAGCCAGTGGAGTGAATTTAACCAGTAATGGTGAGGACTCTTTGAAAAAAAAATATAAATATCGATAAAACTGAAAGATCATTTATATATTACGAATTTATTAATTAATGCTTATTATTATAAAATATTTATTACCGTTTTAATTCACTATGAATTTTTTTTATTGAACTTATCTTTTGTTCAGCCGAAAAATCTATATAATTAACAATTGAAATGTCCAAATTATAAGATAATGAATTTATGTTATGAATTTATTGGTTCAAAAAAAAAATCAAACTGCTTTTTTTGCATCCATTTTCATAAACGTAAAAATTTTATTATTTACAGAAATATAACATTTCTGACTTAATTATAAAGTAATCGTATATTTTCACCATTACTACCAAATTCATCTAATGTAGCAGTTTGGATGAAGAGAAAGTGGATATAAATTCGGCTGACGCGAGAAGTATTAGTCCCGATTCTTGTTCTTTGACGACAATAAACCTGTTATAAAAATGTCACACACTTGTTGATACAAGTGACCCACCTGTACCTTTATTGTGAGATTAATGTGAGAAAAAATAATAATGAAAAACAGTTATATTTTTTTGCTTTCGATTATATTTCGAAAATCCTCGCTAAAAATCGCTCTTTTTTGTAAAATTCGCATTTAAAAGACGAGGACATAATAGCAACGAAATAGATAAAACAGATCAATACAATCGCGCTTCTAACATATTATCAATAGGAAAATAAAAAAAAGAAAATTTTTTCGAGTATATTTAAAAAATTTGAATTGAATCACTGAATATTTCAGAAAACTTTATTTAATCAAATCTAATAAAAAAAAGCGCTAAAAAATGCAAATAAAATGTATAAACGTCTGCTTTACACACGAAAAAAAATGAGCGAAAGGCCAACAAGCAATGAATTTTGAATAAAACCCGAACGATGTTCGCCTTTAAAATGAATGAAAACAGTTTTTTTGCTAAAATAAAAAAAAGAATTTTTCTCGACCTTTCAGAAAATTTTTTTTTTTCAATTTTCATTAGAACGAATGATAAAATATATTTTTCTTTATTCATGCAGATCATTCTTTTCAAATCAAACTCTTCATTCAATTTCAATTTCAATTATTGATTCAAATTTCATTTAAATCAAGCAAAAAATGAACGAGATTCGTAATTAATAATGGAGCTCATGGATAGCGAGGAATCCAAGAAAGTAAGGAAGAAAAGGCTTTGAGGAGGTCATTAAAGAACTATAAAACAAAACTATACGGCGGAGATTTAAGAGTGCCTTGAGAAGTATAAAGTTGTTTTAAAAGAGTTGGTTGTTTTCGAATGAAAACGATAGAGATAAACGATTTTGCAGATGATAAAAACGACCACCATTCGGTCTAAGCAAATTATAATAAAATTGTTCATATGATGTCATATATGTGTCATATATGAGGATTGTTCACTTATAATCCAACGACAATGGAAAAGATTAATTTCAAAAAAAGAAAACCAACTTAGAGATTATCATTTCTATTTGTGAAAAATTAATCATTCTCATTAAATCAAAAAATCATTGGTTGATTTAAAAAAATGAAATTCCATTATAATCCCAATTTGAAATTTTAATATAATTTAAAAATTATTCATAAAAATTTAAAAAAAAAAATTTGTCCTAAAATTAAAAAATTCTTATAATAAATATAAATGCTAATAAATCGAAATTTTAAACAATTTTTTACAATAATTTACAATTTTTCCATATATTTATTCAGGGGAAAAAAAAAGAATAAAGAGTAATTATTCGAAAATTTTAACGTTATAATAAATATTTACACTTTTTAAAAATCTTAAAATAAACTTGAATTTTTTGAATTTCTTGAATTTTAACAAAAAATCTACCAAATTTCATAATCGATTATCTTATCGTAATCAATACTATTGCAACAAAAAATTGAATAACAGTTCGCTTATATCGTTGTAAAATTGTTCTTTGAAATTCTCGATTAAGAAAGTAAGAAAAACTGTGATAAATGATAAAATTTCAATAAATCTAGAATTTCTGCCTAATTGCGGCCAAATAACATCCTGTAGAATCTAATCATTGATGTAAGCTTCGCTAATGAACAAAAGTAAACAGCTAAACAAATAAAAAAATCCTCGAATCCTATCTCAATAAAGCATATATTTATATTATAACATATGCTATATAGAACTTATATTCTATCTTCTACAAAAATAAAAATAAATTTTTGCAAATATTTACTGAAAATTTATGGTATTTATGTCATATTATATATAGCAACTAGATTTATACAATGGCAAGCTATGTCGCTTCGACTAAGGTTTTGAAATTTGCAAAATGAAATGAAACTTAACATTAAATATGAGAGCCGACTGATGCTGGTGGCTCATCTGAACTTCTCTTCTCACATCTCGCTACCCAGTAAAGAGTTCATTTCACTTTAATATTCAGTGAAGTCAGTCAAACCAGAAATGACATAAGAAATAGACGAATGTCTTTAAAATTTCAACAGAAAGCATTTACGTTAGGGGTCATAGAGGATTATTTATTTGTGATATAACCAAAAGCAAAAATATTTTTCTTGGAATCGTCAAGAATACAATATAAAAGACTGGAACATGTATTTTTTTAAGATCATTTTTGCTTAAAAACAATTGAAATAAGGTAAAAAAATTTCTTAATTTACAGTAATTTTGACTTATCGTTTACTGGAACTGATAAATGATAAATGAATATAAAAATTTTTTTCTAGTAGAACGCATTATTTTTGGTTTGGTTGGCCTTAATTTATCGCTGAAATGAGACCTTTTCGAAACAGAGACAGTTCAGGATGGAGGTACATGCATAGCGGCTAATAGGATTTTATTTTCATAAAAATGGAAAAGAAGTGGAATCATGCAACATGCGGTTAAATAAACCATCACATACTGCTTCAGAATTGAATAATACTGAAAACAACAGATACGACTTTTAAAATGATCGCATTGCAAATGTTGTAAGATCGCTAGGCGAAAATTTTAGATTATCTCTTTAAATCATTGCAATGAATGAATTCTTATAAAAAATCGTGCGGAAAAAATCATAAATTAAATTTTTAAAATAAAGTAGAACATAAAATATTTATTTATTAAACTTTTCTAAGAGAACATAAAATATTGGAACCGTTTAACCCTTATTGCCACTGGAGCCAGCCTAACCAGTAATGGTGAGAGCTGTTAGAAGAAGAAGAATATAAAAGATTATTTTATGCTGGACAGGTTTCGCCGAGTGGATAGTGCCTAAGATTAAGATTAGGAAAATAAGAATGCTAAAAAGAATAAGATCGCTGACAATGCTAACAGTCAGAGAACCTTCCTAACCACTGTTAAGCATTAACCGCATATTCACTTCTTTCTTTTTTCTCATTGAAATTTAGATTATATTGATGAAATCGGGGGAAATTTTCAATAAGTTTTAAGAAAATTGCGTCTTCTTAATCTTCGACTGATGACCCAAATTACTAAATGAATGAATTTTATTCAAGCATGTTTTCTAAAGGTTAAAATAAAATAATAATCTATGGTGGAAGAGACAAGAATTTAATAAAAAAAAAAAGAAATTTAAAGACCTAAAAGGAAAATTAAAAGTAAAATTAAAAAAGCCGACGAAACAAGCAATATTTAAACAGTAAACAAAAACAGTAAAATCATCGTAGTGTTTGCAATCATAAATCTTTTTTTAGGGAACCTAAATATCAAAATAAAGTCAATTATTTTATATTATATTGAATTTGATGAGAATTTCGACAAATCGAGTTTCTTCACAAGATTTTCTACCTTCATTCTTAATAATTTTACCTTTAAAATACGCTAACAAACAAAAATCTTCGATTAATTATGGTACTTTTCTTGCGAAAAGATTCATCAGAAAGTAGTCTTTTTATTGCTTTATTCTATTTTTTTTTTGTTTTCATATTTCCTTTCCTTTTCTATTATTTCATTTATATTCCAATTCAGAGTCCTTTGGTCATATTGTTCCCCGTCTCTCTGTCTTTGTCCTTCACTACCTATTTTCTTTCCCCTATCAGTAAGTGAGAGGTGCTGTTACTTATATATTTCAAAATTACCAAAAAGATTTACTTACTCATTTAATTTTTCCTCCTTCAAAATTATTCTCATATGAAATTTTATTTGGACATATCAATAATTCAAATTTGAATTCGATTTCATTTTAGAAGAATCTACAATAAAATTTAGAGGAAATTAGTATAATTTTAAATTGAGAAGTTTGACAAAATTTTAAAGTTTTTTTGCAGAAAAAAAATAAAATAAATGTGAAAATGACGAAATTTAAAGGAAAGAAAATTCAATTTCCAGTAAATTTTTGTGAAATTTATGAAATTTCATATTTAGAGGAAATTAGTATAATTTTAAAATTTTGAGAAGTTTGAGAAGTTTGACAAAATACGAAAGTTCAAAAATACGAAAGAGTTGTATAAATATAAAAGTTATACAGTATTTATAGAACGTTAAAAAATATATCAAAGTGATGCTTATCATGATATAAAAAAGAAAGAAAAGGAAATGAATATATGGCTCGCCTAAAAAATTTTTATCGAATTTTTTACTTCATTCGAATCGCGGAATAATCTTCAAGAATTAGAAAAAAGTTCTAAAAAATATTGCAATCGGTCAATTTTTGCCTTGATGAAATCAAGGATAGATATGACCATGTGACCATGGTACTATGTTTAATGAAGACTTTAAACTTTATGGAACAAGATAGAGATTAGAAAAAACACTAATGTTTTATATAATAAATTTATAAGTAAATAAATTTATTTATATAATAAATTTAAAGATATTGCCTTAAGCAGATTTCCAATTATTGCCTACTATAAATACTAACTTCGTGGACAACCAAACATTTTCATGCGAAAAATTCTAAGTTCTGGAGAATTAGCGGAGTTTAAACAAACTTATTAAATTAAATTAAATTTCTTGATTTTGAAGTCATCTTAAAAATTTCAAGGGAAGACAAAAGTAATGTGACAAAAAGACCTCTTTTATCAGTCTGCTATTTTAAGGCAAATATAATTATACAATAACTAGGAACTAATTAAAGTCGTCGACTTTTTAAAGGAGTTTGTAGGAAAAGTAATGTTAAAACTTTTGATTACAGGAAAATTTGGCAAAAAAAAATGAAAGGAATTTGCAAATTGATAAGCAAAAATATGCTGATAAGTTTTTGCTTAAATCGATACGTATAAAATAAAATTAATAAAATATAAGAAAATTTAATTTTGCAATTTAGTTAATTTTTTTAGTGAAGCGAAATTTTTCTCCTCGAAATAAATAATATTGCCACTTCCTTTAAACAAATTCTTGAGCCTAATTTAGAAAAATTTTGACCAAGACAAAAAAATTTAAGAAAAAAATAATCGCGTTGCGCCAAAAATTTTCCGTAAAAAAAACTAAGAGAAAGAGAAGAAGAGACAATAAAATAATGAAGAATTCATAAAAAAAACATGCAATAAAAAGAAAAAACTAACGGTTAATAACTGATTGATAACTGAGGAACGATCGATAGCGCTAGATCGACGTTGAGCTTCAACTGATAAAATTGCTTTTTTGAACGAGTTGTCCTCTTTAACAGTGGCTAGAAAGATTGCTGGAGCAGCGCTTGCACGTCTTTTTTGTCGTGGTGTAAGATTTGGCGATATTGTTTTATCAGATGGACAATCGTTATTCTTACGAAATGGTACTAATGTATGCAGGAATGAACCACTATGTCGATGAATCGTTTTCGATAGCCTCTTCGTCCATGGGGTACGCTCAACATCACTGTTTATTTGTGGTGGTGGTGATGAAGAAACCGGTATTGATGGTGAATGGATAACTTTTGCATCAGATATATTGTCAATATTATTTTTTTGGCAAATATTTTGAGCATCGTTCGTTGATGCCATTTTTAATTCGCCGAGTTGAAAATTTAACAAATAATTGATGAATTGAGGTGGAAAATTTATTTCTGAGCATCCACTTTCAATTTTTTCGAGATTCTAAAAATTCAAATTTTTTGAATTTATGTAAAGAAATATTTGCGCAGCCGACAAGGTAGACACATATTAAAACAATCACCGTTATCACTGTAATGCTATCAAAAAATTACACTTTTTTCAGATAAAATTTTTATCAAATGTTTTAAAATGAGATAAGTGATTTCTTTAATATTTCAACAATGAATGCCACAATTATGATAGCGATTATTAATTAAACGATAATTGTAATTAAGCATAACGTTGATTCGAATAGCCTTCAGATGATTGATACATATCAAAAAAATCTTTTTATACAACGTTGATAGAATGATAAATGAAGAAAAATATATATATATATCAGGCGATAAAAATCGACAAAAAGTAAATTCTTCTAATCATCGAAAATAAAAAAGAATAAATAATCGAATAAAATAATATTTGAAAAATGAAAAGAAAATTTTCATGATGAAATTCATAAAAAAATCAAACTAAATAAAAATTTATTCTTTAGGTAATTTTTAATTTAAAATTGACAAATTGACAAGTGGTGCGTAAAATAAGACTATTAAAATAAGACTAAATACTATAAAACTATAAATTTAAAATAAATATCAAAAATTAAAACCAAAGAAAAAAAAGCTTAAAAATAATAATGAAATATGAACAATATTGAATTTTATTCTATTCAATAGATAACAAATATGAATTCGCTTTTTTTTCTTTTTATTTATAGTTTTTCTCAATATATATAGTTCGTCGAGTTGAAAATTTAATATATTATAAATTAACAAATAATACAAATAATATAAATTCTTTATATATTTATTATTCTATTCCGAGCTAAAGATTTCTCTTCACATTAATAGCCACCAATAAAGGCAATATAAATAGTAAACGCTAATAATCACTTAATTTTTTATAACCATTTACTATCATCTATTATCTACTATCTATTATTATTATCTACTATCATAACAACCCAACAACTTTTCCAGCTAAATTTATTTATTTCTAAAGAAAATTCTATAATATTGAAAAAAATTTTGATATAAATTTTATCATAGTTTATCACTTAATAAACTTTATCACAATGGAAAAGATGAAATATTTAAAAAAGTGACTAAGTAATAATTCAAAATAAAGTGAAGCGTTATAGTACATCTAATTATACAGGTTACTCTTGAATAATTTACCTCAGATTATTCAATTTTATCCGTTGAAAAAATTAAAAAATTATTAGTAAGTACCTAAAAAAAATTATTAGCAAACAAATATTTGTAACTTCTTTGTAACTTTGTAATTTCTTCTGTAGCGAATTATTTGCAAAGAGCAGTGCTCAATTTAATGAATGCATTTTAATTTTAGAGAAATCCGAAATTTTTTAAAATATTTTTCCATTAAAATATAAAATGTGTGAAATTAAAATTTGATATTTACATTATGAGAAATTTTTCTCAGTAGTTTCTATAATAATAAACTACAAATGAATAAAAATTCGAGGAGAAAAATAAGAAAGATTGGAAATTCATAGAGAAATAATCGATTGAAATTGACTTATAAAAAAATAATATATTTGAAAAAATTAAATACATGATAAATATTATAAATATAATTAAATAAATATTAAATAAATAAATAATAAATATTGATGAGGAAATTTTATTCGTGAATGAACTGAAAATATCGATGAAAATTACTGAATTTGAAAGGAAAAAATCTAAATTATTGAAAAAAAACAATTATTGACGCTTAAAATCAGCAAAAGATGACTATGAAAATATTGAAGAATAAAACATTTTATGATAAATGCGACATAAAAGCAAAAAGCGACATATTGAATAAGAGTTATGGCTTTGTTAAACTATCTTTTGCAAAGAAAAACTGGAGAAAAATAATTTAAAGGATGAAATATGCACTTATACACATTTTTTTCAAACAAGCAAAGCATACAGACACGCACTTAAATTTACAGAACAGAAGAACGGTTGCTGTTGTAAGATATAGGTTAATAAATAAATACAAGAAAAAATACCAAATTATTTCATGACAATATCGAGAAAACTTTTATTCTGACCTTTCATGCTCATATATTGCAACAGTTATACTTTAAGTTGTCAATAAGATTATTTATTTATTTTTGAAACTATATGAAACCAGAATAATAACTGATATATGGTCATGTAAAATGCACTAGCAAATTCTTTCATAAAGCTTGAAAATCGCAAAATGGAAAGAATTTCAACATTCAAAAATATATAAATTTAAATAAACTGTAAAAAATTTCGTAAAACGGTAGAATAACAGCGAAATAGAAGAAAATAAAAATTGATAATTAATTGGCGATAAAATTTATTGACATTTTATTGATAATTGATAATAGAATAGCATATATTGAAGTTTCTTTGAAACTTTTATAATTATTTATTGTCTCAGTACAACAGAAGAAGTTAAGATTCGTGGCTAAGGTAATAACAATAATAATTTCAGCGAAAATAATTTTCAAATTAATTGAACAGCTAAAATTTATTAAATAATCGTTATTTATCAGATTTAGCTATTAGCTATTCAGCAATAAATAGCAATAACAATAGCAACACAATTTAATATAGTAAATTTCTATAGTTTGGAAAAAAAGGCAATTTTTTTTTATTATTATTTCATTTTGTTATTTAAATTAAATGCTAAAATTGAGAAGAATAATGATCTTTAAACGAAAATATCGAAAGTTATTTGCAACGATGCAACAAAACTAGTTGCATAATGGAGAACGACCTGATTTGATCAAACATTGTCATAATATTGTCGTTAAAGTTTACATTCATCATGAGACCAAATCATTAACTCAAATTTTTTTTAAACTGTTCTTAACAATTCTTTTTTTTTTATATATTATATTGCGTAACATCGATAACAGTAATTATTATTGTACTTAAAGGCAAATTATTACAAAAAAAGGCATAAATAATATAAATATATTAAATATATATATATCAGTTGCTGAAATCAATATCAATAGAAGATAAAGAAGATTTAGTTAAAATCAATAGAGGATAAAATTAATCTTTCACAGCAAATGTTTCAGACGAAATTATTTAGGCTAATATTAATTATAAAAATATTTGATAAGATGAGAGAGAGAGCAGTGAGCGACTCTGAAATGAATATTTACAAGCAAATATAAAATTTTTTGATAAACTATCTATCCCCCACTCACTTGAATCATCGAAAACCTTGTCAACTGCAATATTGTGCGATAATATAAATGCAAATTTGTTGGCCGATAAATTTTTGCGTTATTACATTCTATGAAACGTATAGAAGTGATAACGCTCGGTTAGCATTACATAACTTTTTATTTTTAAAATAAATAAATAAAGAAATTTTTATTATGGAAGAAATAGCTTTTTAAGAGTTATCATAAGCCGATATAATTCAAAACAAAGATAAGATAGTAAGAATAATTATAATAATAATAATGAATAATACTACAATAATATAAGAAAGTTATAAAAAAAGAAAAAAGTCAAAAAAAAGATCAAACTGAAATCAATTTCTATAACACATTTAACTACAATTTTGAGAAAATTACTTCATAAAATTGCCTTTGAACAAATTAAAAAGACCTATTTTTAGGCGAAAATGATTTTTTCCCAAAGTGATTCGCTTATATTTATTTTGACAAAAAAAAGTTAATTAAATTGTTTTCGAATCTTAAATTATATAAAAAATCATTCATTAATAAAAATTTCGAACATAAATAAATCTAAAATAAAATGGCAACAATGCGAGTATTAAGAATTTTCTTTAACTTTGATAGGTAAAATTTCTATTTTTCCCACTTTAATTTTAGTTTTATTTCATAAAAAAATTTGAATACCTCATTTATTCTCAAATAATCAAGTAGTGGTCTGCTAAGTAAACAACTGCGTTATCACTGGCACAAAAATAATTATCCATATTCAATTTTCTTTTTCTAACTGCACTCACCATTTTTGGCATTCGCTAGTTCCACTAATTAATAATAGCAGACTTTTTCATCAAAGCGCCAATTTGGAATGGATGAACTAGTGGATTTTTCTTAATAAAAGCTTTACTCAAAAATGTTGCTAATCCATGATGTATCACTTCAGTCAAAGGAATATAGTTCTCCTCGACTATTCTGCTTGCAACATTTCCCAGTTAATTTTGCACTTGCAAAATGTGTACACATTTAAGTGATCATTCAAATTTAGTGGAGCAATGAATAATGAATAATAAGCAAATTTCCCATGAATGGGAAATATGGACTGTAAAATGTGGGAAAGTTATGGGCAATTTTTTAAACGGCATTCATGACGCATTAATTTTCAATAACAGTTGAGATGAAATATGAAAATTTAAAATTTCCCATAAATAGTGGATTATCGGTTGAATGGCTAAAAAAAAGTGGATTGTTGCTTTTATTTTCGAAGGGGCGATACAAGGATATACCTGTCTTTCGACTGCTGCCAACGTGGTGCTGCCAATCCACCTGCCAAGTGACTAGCGAAATCTAGCTTGACAAACCAGTTGAAAGAGCTCAACTAGAGAAAGTGGTTTTGGAAAAAAAGATTATAGCCAATGCTCAGAATTTCGACCATAATTTAGTAGAGATAAAGCCTCCCTGAAAGCAAACGCTTTGATATGAATTTCAATTTGGTTTTTATTATGAATCATTGAAGCGATGCAAAAATCAGCGCTTAAAACAAAACTAAGAAAATAGATAACCAATAGAACCATAAAAAAATATTTTTGTGTATATAATGGAATTAAGCTAAATTATTTGCTATAATTTAGAAATATATGCTTGTGATAAAATAAAATATATGGAGGTAAAATATGGCTTCAGCGGGTTGTTGCCGATAATTTTTATCAAAAAATTTAGTTACCGCTCGGGATTCATCAATATT